TTGCCTTGTATGTATTAGCTCAGTGCTAGCGCGACAAACAAGCTAAACTGTTGTATTTTCAGTTCCAGGCTGAGTCATTTCTACCTTCTCCTCTCTGTCAACGCTCTCTGGTTTCATTTAAAAGAGTCGATCATCAGATATTGTCCAAGATTAACCTTCAGGGTGGATATAGCTCGCTAGCAGCCTCGCACCGAGAACCTATCCACGTCATCATTTACCCAGAATGCTTTGTGTGGAAATAAAATGGCTCTGTCTGTGTTAAAATATATTTTAAAAAATTTACAAAACTAAACATCCTACAGTATTTTTATAGTCTTTATTTTACAGTTAAATATATGTTTATCAAATAAAGTTTAATGTTACAACTAATCGGGGATCCCTTTAAAACAAAAACCGAAGATGTTCACATTCTGTCATTGAACTCAGCCTTTTGTTTCAATTTACTAAAGAACATTTTATAAATGAAGCATGGCGGACACATTATTATTTATCATCAGAACTATTTTTAGAGCAATTAAAGTCACTTTTTAAATGGTTGTCTGCCTGAAATGATTTAAGTTTTTAATAAAATGCTGATTGAAGCCTCACAACTGTACGGACAAAGATTACAGCCACTGAATAATCCTGACTTTAATCTCAGAATTCTGACTTTTTTTGCTAATTCTGATAAAATTAAATTGAATTTTTTTCTGCTCTGCAGCCGACTATTTGCAGCCACTCCGGCCCACTTGAAGGTGACTCACATCGTAAAAGAACCAGCAGGAGTTGTTTAAAGAGGCCAGAAGGTCGCGGTTAGAGCTGGGACAAATGGCTCTTTGAAGGGATCCGGATCTTGGGGAGCCGTTTGTTTCATAGAGCCGTTCGATTTTAAACATGTTACATCATCACGTAGGGAAATACGTCATCACGTAGGGAAATACGTCATCACGTAGGGAAATACGTCATCACGTAGGGAAATACGTCATCACGTAGCCATACGTAATCCCGTCACGTGGGTGGAGCCATGCGTTTGTCAAGCGGAAAACCCTCCTCCCCATTTCACTGTGAGCTTCTGTACTCCACAACTCCGCCTGTTTTCTGTGAAAAAGCAAAGCGGGAGCCATTTAAGTAAGAAAAAATAAAGGTTATATGAGGAATAAAGGAAATAAAACGGCTCATTACTGCCCACGTTTTGGCTCCTATCGTTCGTTTTAAAGAGCCGTTCAAAAGATTCGGATCGTTTGCGAACGTCACATCTCTAGTCGCGGTCCACCCTGGATGCTGCCGTCACACCTGACTTCACATCCAGGATGGAGAGCATCTTCCAAGCTGGTTTTCACACTAAGTCCACCCTGGATGTTGGACTGGAGCTCCAGGATGAACTCTGAGATCAAAGTCAAAATACTTTTTTTTTTCCAGTGGCCCTAATCCTCTTTACTACTCAACTTTTCTTTCATTCATCCAAAAAAAACCCTCAAAAGTTTTGGAATTGTTGAGCCTGTAGCAACTAAACAAAGCAGGGAATATGTTGGGAAGAACTTCGACCAGCTTTTAAAAGATTTGTAAAGCAGAACACCTACAGACTGGGACTGGATCGACGAAACATTTTCAGTCCAGTCGAGCGATCTGTGCAAACAAAAACTACGACATGAAKGTGYATAATGAATCGAGAGAAGGCATTTAAAACTTCAGAACTGATCTGGATCCCCCTCACGTCTGCACAAAGAGCGGTCTGTGTCTCACTGCTCGTGCAAACGCTCAATCACCCGATTGTTCAACACCGTATTAAAGGGCAACGCCGCAAACTTTAACAAATGTTCAAGAGCTCCAGCCCTGCTCTGCAGACTGATTCAAGGCACAGCACTGAGTCAGAAAGGAAAGTGAAAGAGGTTTCCATCCAGGAAACTGAACGCAGATCAGAGAAAATTTAATTCACGGGACAAAAAAGGTGCAGGAATTTCAATCAGTTCTAAAGTGAGCGCCTGAATTAGGAAGTAAAAATGGTTGATTGATGGTTTGACCGTCTGCAGTGCAAAAGTACAGCAGAAGATCTGCCACACAAACTGCTAAAAACAATAAAATAAAAACAGTAACAGACTCAAATGAGTGTTATTTACAAACAATTTGAGCAACAGAAGCGCGGCTGACGGAGCAGCTAACCGGCTACATGTTGGCTAACGTGAGTGCAACACAAAGAGCARGATCAGAACGTGACAAACAAACAGTCGGGAGTCAAACTTTCCATCAGAGTTCCAGGATTTGGCAGCGCATTACAACAGGGTTGGGACCTTTTTCTTTTTTTTAAGCACACGGTAACATCAGAGCTGGTATGAGAGTTTTTGAGTCCACGGTGGGTTTTACCAGCAGGGACAAGCTGAGCAGGTTTGGATTTTCATGCTGTACAGGAAGAAAAAGGCATGCTCRGCCCACAATCACACCTCCAGCTCCACGTTTGGCTCAGACGTTTAGCATCAAATCATGAAATGTGTTCTTTTTTTCCAGCTCTAAGAGGTTGGGAGGTATATTTTTAAATCCTCACTTGGCATTAAGAGTTTGTTTCAGTGGTTAGAGGGTGTTGATGCAACGTTTCACTGGATGAGAGGAAAAAGATGCTCCACAGCTTCTTTCTCTSAGTCTTAATGGTCCTGCTGGTTTCTGCTGCCTCTGGGTTCATGAAAACAACCCATGCTGCTGACGACCACGATGAAGGAATGTAAGCGATGAATCGTCCTCCTGTTTTACTCTTTCACCCTTCTGACCAGTGAAAAGATGAGATCAGGATGAAGTTTCGGGATTTTTGATGGATAATGTCCATCTTTAAATGGATGAAGAGAAGGAGCCTGGTTAAAAAGGACGGTTTGTCTCCAGCTGATTGTTTTTATTTTCCCAGGTGGATCCATGGAGACAACCAGGAGAATTTAGAGGCCCACCTCGGAGCTGATCCAGGTTTAATCAGGCAGGTTGGAGGTGGAACTGGACTGAGGAGAGGGTCTGGGCTGGCTGGTTTTTCTCTGGGTCGCTCACAGCTGTTGGATGTAGCCGATGGTAGAAGGGCCTCAAAACGCTAAAGAAGAAGAAGAGAAAATAAAGGAGGGTAGAAAAACTAAAKAGGCAAAGTATAACAGATGCACTGTAATGCAGTGTTTTTCACACAGTTCACACAGGAAATTTGTGTCTACTTGATCAGTAATCACAAAAAACCCCAAATAAAAATAAAAACAGGATTTTCTGTGTTGACTAATGACAATAAGCTAATTTTTTAGTTTCATGTGAAGATTTGATAAGAGCCACACAAGATATTTTTTCCCGAGAATAAAGACATAATATTACAACATTAAATCATAGCATTACAACAATAAAGTCGTATGAGAATAAAGTCCTAAAATTATGAGGATAAAGTCCTAAAATTACAAGAAGTCAAAATTACGAGGATAAAGTCATAATATTAAAACAATTAAGTCATAAAATTGAGGATAAAGTCATAAAATTACAAGAATAAAGTCATAATATTACGAGGATAAAGTCATTTGAGAACAATATGAGAAGTCATAATATTACAACATTAAATCATAGCATTACAACAATAAAGTCATAATATTATGTGAATAAAATAATATTACAAGAATAAAGTCATATGAGAGTAGTCATACAATTACGAGGATAAAGTCATAAAATTACGAGGAT